TTAATGTATATACACTATGTGTTTGTGTGTGGGTACTTTGGGGGAACTCACTAAGCTTTGTGCTTACAATTTTGTTTATGGTTTCATGTCCTTCAAATGATTCGTGGCAAGGCGAAAGAGTGTCTGTACACATCCTTTATTTTACAACAGATTGGATATTGGGAGACACTGATTTTAAATCATGTTCTTGAAACAATGTTTTTGTAAACACTTTTGTTAATAAATGAGTTGTTTTGAAAAGTTTAAATTTGTTGAAATTGGTGGGATGTTACACCAGGTAAAGAAGCAGTGGAACGTTGGCAACGCAATAATCAAATTGAATATCCTTCCCGTCGTCCAAATCCTCGATACTCTCAATCTTGCCAGGCTTACTTTGCTCAACAACACCACTCTCCTTCGTCGGTCGATCATAATTGGTATTTTGACACATGTGCGATTGAGCATATCACACTATACCTTCAAAAGTTGTCAATTACAGATGAATATCATGGACATGATAAGGTTCAAGTAGGCAATGGTAACAATCTTTTCTATTTCTCATATTGGCTCAACTCGTTTACGATCTCTTAAACCACCTTCTGTTCTTCTTGAACCCAAAATTACTAAACATCTCTTGAGTGTCTCTAAATTAACTGTAGAAAATGATGTTTATTTAGAGTTCAGATGTACTCACTGGTCTGTTAAGTCTCTGCAGGGGCAAAATCCTCCTACAAGGGGATGTTAGGCAAGATCTCTATTTCATTCCTACAAGTAAAATTGCCAAATAAATCGGTTCTTTCTATGGATTTGACCGGTACTTGTACCTTTGTTCATGGATGGCGCAAGAGGCTCACTCACCCACATAAACCTTTACTCAGACGCTTGTTATCTACTTTCCAGCTTCCGATTTCGTCAACTAAATTTCCACCTGTTTGTGATGCATGTCAACTTGGAAAAAGCCACCACTATTCGCTTCCAACTTCTCATTTTACTTCTCAAAATCCATTTGATAAAATTTACTTCGATGTTTGGGGTCCATCCTTGTATTTCTCTATTAATGGAAATAGATACTTTGTCTTGTTTATTGATGATTTTTCTAAGTTTGTGTGGATTTACTTTTTATCTCAAAAATATCAAGTTCTTCCTACTTTCAAACTATTTCATCAAATGGTTCAAACACAATTTAACACAAACATTAAAAGTCTTTAGTCCGGCCAGGGATGAGAATATCGCATTGTCTTCCACTATCTCACCACTCATGGCATTCCCCATTGAGTTTCTTGCCCCTACACCCAAGAACAAAATGGGGCAATCGAACGACGCAACCGGGTTATTGTAGAGAAAGGTTTAACCTTGTTAGCTCAATATCATCTTCCACATACCTTCTGGGAAGATGCATTTAAAATTGCAACCTATCTTCATAATCATACAATAACCCCTGCCCTTGCTTACAACTCTTCTTACCAAAAATTATACTCTAAAATTCCCGATTATGCATTCCTCAAAACATTTGGGTGTCCATGCTACCATCCCTTCCTTCGACCATACAACAATCACAAGATTGATTTTTGGTCCCTCCCATGTATCTTTATCGAATACAGTGCCTCTCAAAAAGGTTACTTATGCTATCATCAACCATCATCACGAATTTAAATTGCTTGCCATGTTGTTTTCAATGAAGAGGTATTTCACTATTCAACACTTCCCTCTCCCCCATCTCCCTATTCTTCCGCATCTTCTACTCCTCCTGTCACTTTTATCCTTCTTCAGAAAGCTTTTTCCTTGACTCCTAAACGATAAACATCCCCACTATCACCTCTTGATTCACATATTCACCAACACTCCCTTCCATCAGATACACCATCAACTCCCTTTTCACCTTCTTCCCCACCATATTATCTGAGTTCTAATATGAGTTCTCGATCCAAGCAAACTTGTCCAGTCAATTCTCATTATTGACCTGCTGACAACAGTCAACATCCCATGACAACACGAGCTCGCACCAACTCATTAAAACCCAAAACTTTTTCCGCCTCTATTACACCTTCTCCACAAGTAATCAACTTCTTTTGCCAAGGCAATCAAATCCCCATCTTAGTAACATGCCATGCAAATTGAGTTTGATGCTCTTAAGAGAAATAAAATGCGGTCTCTTGTTATTTGTCCTACTAACGCTAATATTTTCGGCTGTAAATGGATTTATAGGATAAAACGAAACTTAGATGGTTCAATCGAACACCACAAGACTCGTCTCCTGGCTCAGGGTTACAGTCAAGAGGATGACGTTGATTACTTCAAGACCTTCAGCCTAGTCATCAAACCAACCATAATTCGTTTGGTTCTTTCTCTAGCACTTTCCAAAGGATGGTGTATTAGATAGCTCGACATCAATAATACCTTCCTCAATGGTGATCTACAAGAAGTTGTTTACATGCAACAACCACGAGGATTTGAAGATGCAACTAAACCAATCATGTGTATCATCTTCATAAAGCCCTTTATGGTTTTAAACAGGCATCACGAGCATTGTTCAACAAACTCAAAACATTCCTAATCACCTAAGGGTTCCGGGCTTGCCAATTTGACACCTCCTTATTTATTCATCACTCCTTCGCAACAACTAACTACATCCTAGTCTACGTTGACGTCTTAATCATCACATGCACAATGTCGAGCCTTATTCAAAACTTCATTAATCATCTCAACAAAGTCTTTGCTCTCAAAGACATGGGTCATTTACATTTCTTTCTAGGAATCCAAATTCAGCGCACCTCCACAGGTCTTATGATGTCTCAAGAAGGTTACATTAAAGACATCTTACACCACACCAAAATGGAAGACTCAAACCCCATCTCAACCCATGCTGACAGTCAATCTCATCTTACTATTGCTGGTGATCCATTCCCTAAACCAAAATTATATAGGCAGGTGGTAGGCTCTGTATAATATGCTACTATCATGAGACCGGACATTGCCTGTGTTGTTGATAGGTTCTATCAATACATGCACTCTCTTACCACCCTCCATTAGCAAGCAGTGAAACGAATATTGAGGTATCTCAAAGGAACGGTCCATCAATGTCTGCATTTTACACCTTCTCGTCCCATTTGTCTTCTTGCTTTTTTAGATGCTAGATGGATTTCAGACAAGGACGACAACCGTTCTCAATAATGCTACCTTCCATGGTTCAAAACTGAATAGCTGGACCTCATGAAAACAATGGGTAGTTGCTTGATCTAGCATATAGGCGAAATATCGATCCCTCGCCTACACAACTGCTAAACTAATTTGGATTAAACAACTGTTAACTGAATTACATGCTCCTCTCTTAGACCCTCCATTTCTACTGTGTGATAATGTCGAAGCGATATTTATGACAAAGAATCAAATAATACGCACGCGCTCAAAACACATAGCCTTGGATTTTCACTTTATACGTGAGCAAGTTAAATCACATGATCTATCTGTCAGTTCTGTTTCTTTGGTTGATCAATTGACGGACATATTTACAAAACATTTGCATAAGGATTGACTGGAAATCTTAAGAAACAAGTTGCAAATCTGACTTGCATTTCCGCTTGCAGGAGGTAATAGCGGTCACTATGATTTATCAAACATGTTTTACATCAAAAGTGTAGCAACAGTCTTAGTCAACATATGTACCTAGTTATGCTTTTATTCAGAAGTCAATTATAGTTTAGTCTATATATCCTATGAATGTATTCATTGTAAAACACACAGAAATATACAAAAAGCAAACGTTCACTAAATTATTCTCTTTGTCTTTACTCCACATTGGTTAACACATAATCATTTCCTTGCTTTTCTACTAGAAAAAAGGATCAATACTACTTATATTCTTTTGCTTATTTTTGCTGGTTAAGTGGAGAACATCCCTACAACAAACTGCAATCATGAATAATTCAAGCAACATCTTTAGATTCAACATGGGCTAGGAAACTATTATTTTGACTTTAAGGGATTCCGAAAGCATATGCCCTATTCTTTAAATGATAATGTGAGTTTAGTGGAAAGATATATTAACAAATTAATTCAATTTGTTAATTAAGAATCAATGCAAAATGTAGGACGATCATATAATAACTCAACCTTTGTAAGCTAAATATCTATGTTTAGTGAAATATTATTTTGAGAAATATTCTATGTTCTATGAAATTTAGTTCTCAGTATAATTTGGAAGTTAATTAAACGGTATATTCTAAATACATAAAAGTAAATTGATTCGAAGTATATATTCGTAAGATTTGAAGGGTAATCAGTTGGAGTTATGTTCAAATTAAAGGGTTATAACTAAGAGTGCAAACCGGAAAACTGAAATAAAAAAACAACCACCGAATAACTAAACAATGGTGTGGTTTTTATTTTGTAAAAACCAAGTATTTGTGGTGCGGATGGATTTTGCATCATATCACTACTAGAAAAAAGGCCTTTTACGACGCTCATTGCGCGTTGTAAAACGCTCAGACGACGCGCAAATGCGTGTCAAGGAAGGCCCTGTCATAAAGAGAGATGACGCGCTTTTGCGCGTCGTCTATAGACGACGCGCATTTACGACGCGCATTTATGACGCGCATTTACGACGCACGGTTATGACACGCATTGCGTATCAAGGAAGGCCCTGTCATAAAGAAAGACGACACGCATGTTTATGACACGCAATGCGTATCAAGGAAGCACCAGTCAAGAAAGGCCATGTCATAAATAAAGATGACACACATTTTTGAGTATCGTAATTTTAATTTAAAAAAATATATATTTATATATTTATTAATTTATAAATTAAATTTGCATTTAATGTCTCATAATAGAAATAAAATACCATATACAAAAAATACAATCCATTGCATAATATAAAATAAAATACCATATGCAAAAAATACAATCCATTGCATTTAATTTGTATGTATAACAAAGACACATGTGTTAAACTTGTTACCATTAACATCTAATCGTATGGACTCGAGTGTTAAACTTGTTACCATTAATATCTAATTCATAAGTCATTTCAACAAGATTGTTACCTGCATAAATGAAAACAAACATGAACATTAACAGCCTAGCTATGAACCATATTGTTACCTGCATAAGTTACTAAGAGACTTATATACCCAGCTGGTTTGTAATATGGCACTAAGAAGCCCAAGAATTGTTTGTGTTTTTCCTGCTCCTGGTGGATCCTACATAGACAAAAGGTAAGAATTAACATTTTCAAAGTAAATATAAGAAAAGGGCATTATAGTAATTACCTCCATGCAATACTCAATGGACAGCTGGCTTTACTTGTAATAATAATTCATCAATTTTGCCACTCTTCTTCAAGGAGAGCAAAGCCTCCCACTGATCAAAAGCATACCTTTTTGCAAAAGGAAGAATTAAAAATAATTATACCATGTAGATATATAAATCAAGAATGAAGGGGAATATGAATATCCTTAGAACTTTAATTTTACTCATTAAAGTAAAGAATCAAATAGATCATACAGTGGTTTATCCTTAGAAATTCCTTTGACACCATTCTCTGGAACTTGATCCTATAACAAACACATAATGTCATTGAGAAGTGACAAGATATGATAATAGAAAAAATAAATAGATAACAAGCTGATGCAGATGGGTCGTCCATTGTAAAAGCAACAATACCTTGGGCAACATCTTAGTTTAATTTAACACCATGGACTTCAAAATAAAAATAGGAATTAAATGTACCTTATGTGATGCTCAACTGACTTGGGTGGCAGCTTCACTTATGGCATAAACTGTATTACTAAGAAGACTAGTAGTTCCTTGTGTCATGCATGTGATGAGTCCTACTGGACTAGTCCACAAAGAAACAGAATATCAATAGTTGATCTCAGGTAAGTTACCAAATTTTGAGCTGAAGTGTTAAATTAGGTGGAAAAATGGAAATGAAAGGTCAACAACAGTATATAAATTAAGTGGAAAATGGAAATGAATTGAAATTTTTTGTTTTTTATTTTTACTTTTGTTGTTGTTGTTGTTGTCGTCGTCATCATTATCATCGATGTCCATAATGCCTAAATCGTCCTCGTTTGTTTTATTGCCATTTGCAGGACTTCCTGGTTGAGCGAGTGCAGAAACTCCAAAGCACATGAAGTGTGAAAAAAAAGGAACTATGTGAAGAAAATAAATCGATTTAGAAACTTTCATCTAAAATAAACCAAAAAAAATGAAGAACTATATTAATAACCTCATCAAGAAGGAGTGGGATAAATATGGTGAGCATTTTGGCATATTATTCAGAGCAGTGGAAGTATCTACATTGTTTACATTTTGATTTGAACCAGTTGAACCTTCGAGCAAAACAGTTGGATTTCTTGATGCTTTTGTAATTGCTCTAAGCTCATTAGCAAATTCACGTGCCTAAAAAAAAGAATTTTTAACTTTTTTAATATTTATTTATATTTGTACGTATGAATTATACTCATTACTTGAACATACCTCATGCCTTAAAAGTAGATTAAGAGAGCTGCAATAAGCTTTCCTCAAAGGACCTAAACAACTTTTGTCAAGACTCTGCATATAATAAATAAACATAATTTTAACACAAGTTCATTTTTTATATAAAATATTGCTTTAAAGTTTTGTCAAGACTCTGCATTTTTTTATGTAAAATATTGCTACCAATTGTAATCGTGTTTTCATTGCTAGAAAAGTCATGGTTGACTTCTGCACTTACAGTTGTGTTGGTCAACGACTATTGGGTTTGCGGTCAACCGACACTTGTAGTTCAATTATCTTGTTCTCGAGTCCTTAGGGTATTACCTTAATGTCTAGTGGGAACTTTTGAACGATGTCTGTGAGGGTAGCATCAAGCATGTCAAAGGGTCAACCATTAAAGAGATCTTCGAGTCTCTCTTCCCATCTGTCAAGAACAGTAATTCATAACTTCATGAAGTTTACAACAAAAAGAAAAAGTATTTGTCATAAATTAACATGATAAGACTGAGGGCATACTTTAGCTAATAACCTTGAACAAGCAAGCGGCTGAAGGCACCAGAACAAGAAACAAATCCAAATCTTTAGAACAAGAAACAATGGGCACCAGAACAAGCAAGCGGCTGAAGGCGGCACCACCAGTTGGGGTTTTGGAGCGGAAAGCTTCACAGCGGTTCCTACCTCTGCTAACTCTCACTCTCAGGCAAACACAACACCTAATATACCACCAAATTACAATAATATCCTTCAAACTTCAAGCTATAAAATAGGAAGGAAGATTATAATGTGTTGAACCTGGCACCTAATTAATTAAATGATCACAAAAATAGTAATTACTAAATAATCCTAATCTGTACATGTTTATATAATATATAATATATAATTAATTACCTGAAAGTTAATAACAATGAAGAACAATGTACTTTCCGCTGTAATCTGGTAAAAAACGGAAAATGATTTTTACTGTTTTATAAATGGTAAAAATAATCAGTTGTGTGAAGAAGCAACCTGCAAGTCTCCCAAGCATTTGAATTGTGACACATTGGCCTGAAGATTTTTGCAAATAATATCTCCAAAATTTCCAATCAATGGATTCTCCTTAGGTTTGTTGCTATTTTTGTATATAGAGTTTTGATTGTTTCTCTTCTTTAGTTCCTCGTAATCTTGGACAAGTAAGATTTGATATTCATGATAAGTATCTGGTCCCAAAGGTGAACCAGGGTAAGTTGAGTGACCTATCTGCAATAGCAAGAGAAAAAATTGAAATTGAAGTCCATTTAAGAATAAGAAATAAAAGCAGAAAGGATGATGATCAGGTGAAGTTATCAAAAGTTGTGAAATATCTAATATTCGGGATCATTGAAGAAAGAAACTTAAGTGTTTGCTTAGTTGGATGGAATTCTCGTGAGGAGGGCATTCACGTCTTTATCAAAGATATATCAAAGCAAGCATCAATAAGTTCAAATAATTACAATAGCAAGGAAAGATATAATGACAAAATATCACCTATGAGATAGATATGTATATAGTGCACTGGGAAACACATTGAAGTGTGTAAATTGAATGTAACTGCAATGCCCTGAACAAAGATCTCTGAGAATGTCTTGTTGTTTGGTCCACTCCATATTTGAACTTAAATAAGCAGCATGTATATTTGCTTGTTATTGTATCCAAACACAAGATTTGACGTTCACTATAACAGATAAATGTGAATGTTCATAGGTTAAGGAATCCTCAGACCATTAGCGTGTTTTGGTTCCCATATCAAAAAAAGAATCAAATTCGTCCCAGAGAAGAAATAAGCCCTAACAGTGATGAATAGGAAAAAGTAACCATTTTAAGGAACAATTATTATACCTGGTAGAGAAGAAATAAGGAGCTTTGCTAACCCCTATCGCATCCATTAATATCTGTATCCTCACACAGCCACGCAGGGAACATGGAGCAATCTCAGAAGTCTCACAGGTCTCGTCAATCTAGCCCCTCGCCAAGATGAAATCTGATACTGATAAGAAGAAACGAGGACTCACTGATGATAAGAAACGAGACCCTAGTACTGATAAGAAGAAAGGCGACCTCACCGATGATAAGAAGCAAAACCCTAAGGTTTTTCGAATGTTTCTTGATTTTACAGAACAGGATAAGAACAAGTGTGGTGTGGACTTACAAGTAAGGCTGTAGAGGGGTGAATAGGAGGTTGAGATCGATCCCGAGAGATGAAAGAAGTTTAGCTACCCGGGAACATGCTAAGACCGGAGAAGAACTCTTTTATGAAGTTTAGCATCACGAGCGAACCCGATAATTACCTGATGGAAAACCGAGAAGATGAAGGAAGATGAACTTCATCATCTTCATAAAGAAAGGTCAGAGATAGTTAGAGACAGAGAGGGAGGGTGGCATACAACAACGAAAAACTTCATCATCATCTTCCACTGCCTGGCGGTGTGTGATTCGCGGCGACGACGTGATTAGGGCAAGAGGGAAACAACCATCGAAATTGACCGGAAAGCACCTCCATTCATCATCACCGGCAGATCCATCCTAGTCTCCCTTCTTTCCGTCACTTCTCACAATAGAGAAACAAGAGGGGAGAGTTGATTGTGAAGATGAAGAAAAGAAGCTAGAAAAGAAAGCGGGTTTTCAAAATTTTAGGGTTTCGTTTTCCCCCCGTTATCTTCTCAAGGCGCGTTTCACTAAAATTATAAAGCAACACCTACAGAAGACGCACGTTTAAGATCAAGCGCCCTCCGTGTTTTTTATTTTTTTTCTTGAGACACTAATTTAAGGGCGCACAAAAATACGTGTCCACTATCCTTCAAATTTTGGAAGTCTGACATTATTTTTAAGGGCGCCCAAAAATGCGTAACGTGAATCAGCGAGTGTCATTGTTTGCGCGTCATTAAAGGCTATTTTTCTTGTAGTGTATACACCAGAAAAACCGCACCTTAGGATTCGTAAAAAGCGTATACCAAAAACTACATTGTACCATTCATTATACAAAATTAAAACCGTTCTTTATTATAAGTAGAAGTGACAATATTGATATATACACATTTACTTATTATAGAGTAATAAAAATAGTTTATAAAATGTGGATCAAATTGATCGATTGGGATAGGGTGCTTGAATATTTGGGTCATGTTTCTTTTAAGTGGTGATGATAAATTGATAATTACCCACCGACAAGTTGGATAATGTGCTAAACTCACTAGAAAAATGTGATGGTGATTGGAAGCTTGTACGCTTTTAATCGTGTGTTATTACATGAATAGAGATGGAGATTTCTTACTGAAGTGAAATTATTTGGGCTAAGTTAATGAAAGGAATTCATGGATTGCATGGGGGTTATTGGACAGTTTGGTGAAATGTCGAAGGATGGTGGAGTTTGGTCTACTGTTATTGAATTGTTTGATAAAATGCATGAAAATCACACCATACCTCATTCTTTGATGCGAAAAGGGTTGGCAATTATGCTCTTACATGTTGTTGGGAGGACCTTTTAGTGGGTGATATGAGGCTAATGGACCCGTTTCCTAGGCTTTGTGAATTAGAGACGAATAAGTTGTGTTTCATTATTGATCAATGGTATGATATGGACTCTCGACCTTGATAGATATGCTTAGTAATGTTTCTCTTACTAATATTATGGATAGATGAAAGTGAGATTTAAACCTTAGTTGTACTAGATATTACATTGATAATATCATGATCTAAATGGGTAATATTAGTAATTAGTAAACATTAGAATAAATATGTCTCAACAAAGATTAATATCCTCATGTGCATGTAGAGATATGAAAAATTGTTTTGAATAAAAACCCGGCCAGACTTAATATGGTCGTTAGAGACATTGAGTTCATCTAATTTATGCATATTTTATAATTGTCAACATGAAGACCTTAATCTGTATTGTGAGGTTGTGATTCATCTTTCGTTGTCGATTTCTAAGTGGTTATATCCGTCTTTTCTATTTTTGATAAACATTTCATAGTTATTCTTTTGGGTAGATATGTTCTCGTTGACCAAGGCGAAGATTAAAGCTTTGGATGATTTATAGGTATAAGAACAACATGATTTTTTATAGAAGTAGCATTGTTAAAAGGATTGTGATTGCATCCTTTGATTGCTTTTCGAATATAAATTAAAAAAGTTAACACTACTTTGACTTTTATGCAAAACCCATTCTTATATATTTTTGTGTAATTATCTTTTTTTACTACTAGGTGGTTTCTAATAAACCTTATCCTTTCAATTTATTTATTTTATTTGATCCAACACGTAATTACCCAAAAGCATATATTATTTGTTAGTTTATTCAAATAATTAGAATGTATAACTAAAATCAGTATATCGACAAAAGTAGTAATATATTTAGAAATTTAGTAAATATATTTTGGGGTTAAAGAAATATTTTTATAAATTTGAAAAACACCATCCGTGGGACTCGAACCCATGACCACGTGGTTAAAAGCCACGCGCTCTACCAACTGAGCTCCCCAGGACCGCGCGAGGAGTGGATTCTATATGGGTCACCGTGGATCGATTGACCAAGAGCGCCCATTTCATCCCGATTCAGGACAGCATCTCTGCCGAGAAGTTGGTCGACATCTATATCATGGAGATAGTGGCGCGGCACGGGGTGCCAGTATCAGTGATTTCAGACAGAGATGTGCGTTTTACTTCCAGGTTTAGGAAGAAGTTCCATGATGAGCTGGGGACTCGTCTACATTTTAGCACTGCCTTTCACCCGCAGACGGATGGTCAAAGTGAGTGGACCATCCAGACCCTTAAGGATATGTTGCGGGCATGTGTGCTAGATTTTGGGGGTAGTTGGGATACCTATCTTCCTTTCGCTGAGTTCTCATACAACAATAGCTACCACGCGAGTGTTGACCATCCTCCCTTCAAGATGTTGTACGGTCGGAGATGCAGGACCCTAATATATTGGGGAGAGGTTGGCCAGAGAGTCATGGGAAGTACTAAAGTGGTGCTCCATACAACAGAGAAGATTCAGCAGGTCCGGAGCAGGCTTTAGACTGCTCAGAGTCGGCAGAAAAGTTATGCCGACAAGCATCGTTCAGACTTGGAATTCCAATTCGGGGATATGGTTCTTCTGAAGGTGTCGCCATGGAAAGGCGTCATCCGATTCAGAAAGTGGGGAAAGTTAGGCCCAATGTACATCGGGCCATTCAGGGTTGTAGCCCGGGTGGGTAAGGTGGCGTATGGGTTGGATCTGCCAGCCGATCTCAGCCAGATCCACAACACTTTCAACGTCTCTAAGTTGAGGAAGTGTTTTGTGGACAACTCGGCAGTGGTGCCTTTGGAGGATATTCAGATCGATGACAGTCCGAATTACATCGAGCGACCTGTGGAAATCCTCGACAGGAAGTCGAAGGATCTAAGGAACAAAAGGGTGGAACTCGTGAAGGTGCAATGGCAGCACCAGAAGGGATCGGAGTGGACTTGGGAGCCAGTGGAAGAAATGATGGCGCACTACCCTGAGCTATTTTAGGATCGAGCAACAGACTTCAAGGACGAAGTCTAAGATAAGTGGGGGAGATTTGTAGCACCTGATTCCCGGTACGTACTCCTTGTAATTAACATTTTTAAATTAATGCATTTTTGTCTTGGACTCGGCGAGTTGATGGACCTACTCGCCGAGTAGGAGTGCGATAAGATGCGGGGACTGAACTTTGGACTCGGCAAGTCGGTTCTCGGACTGGGCGAGTAGACCCTATTTGGGCAAAAACCCTAATCCGGGTGTTTGCACCCTATTTAAACGCTCTAACTTGGCCTCCTTTGTCCCTAACACTTCCAGAGAGCTGACGAGCGAAACCCTAGCCCCTATTTTGTTCTTGAGAGTGATTTTGGCTTTGTGAAGAAGGTTTGGAGCTTAGATGAAGAAGAAAGAGGTTGTGGTGTGCAAGGAGGAGAGGTAGATTCGGAATCTACACTGCAAGAGGCTTCCATTCAGGTATAAAATCCCCAACCTTGATCACTAGTTCTTTAGATCCCCTTTTGTCCCTAAAATGGTGGTTTTTCAAGCCCTAAAACACCATACTCCTTGTGTTTGTGCTTAATGTTCAGAAAGGACTTCAGATCTAGACAATATGGGCATATTAGAATTATAAAGTTTTTGTGGTTGGAGTGATTGAGGTTCCCATTGAGTGTATGAACTCATAAAAAGCTTCGATTTGCCTTTTAGGTCTTGTAGGGCCATGCATGAACGTAAAGTTTGCAACTTTACGTGATAAGCATGCCCTAGGATCATAGATCTACGGTTTTGAAGCGTTGCATGTCGCAGATTTGGTCTATATGGGAAATGGGTCAAGGGACTCGGCGAGTCCCAAAGTGGAACTCAGCGAGTTCTATGATGATGACCTTAGACTCGGCGAGTTGGATGAACAACCTAGCGAGTCCTATGAAGATTGCCTGGAGCTCGGCGAGTTGTTCCTGGACTCGGCGAGTTGGGTCACGAGTCGGTTCAATCGTCCCAAGTAATGAGTTAAGGGTGACTTAGTGAGTGGGAAGAAGGACTGGTCGAGTAGGACTGGGTTAATAGGAGAAGGACTCGGCGAGTCTATATCGTGACTCGTCGAGTCTAGTCAAATGGATGTTAACTTTGACCAAGGAGTTGACCTTGGACCAAGGGAGGGCCAGTCTTTTGACCTAAGGGTATTTATGGGTGTCTAATCTATGTTCATGATTTATAGCCGGAGGATTACCGGTTCAGCAGTCAGGCACTCAGCAAGTAGACTTTCAACAGCTACTCCGAGGTGAGTTACCTTCTAGTAGCAGGGGGTCTAAGGCCACAATGTCGCGCCCCTAGTAGGAATTGTATGATTAGATGATTGTCTCTGTGATATTCATCTAGGGTTGCTACTAATTGTGTTATGTTATGTGT